TTGGGAGCAGTATTAAGCATAATAGTAAATGATGTAGAGAGGCCAGTTATATTTGCTTCATGTACACTAAACAAACATCAACAAAACTATGCCCAGGTTCAAAAAGAAGCACTGGCAATCATATTTGCTGTAAAAAAATTCCATAAGTTTATTTATGGAAGAAAGTTCACATTAATTTCAGATCATGAATCTCTTAAATCAATTTTAGGTCCAAAATCAGGGATACCAACACTTGCTCATTCAAGACTTCAAAGGTATGCGTTAATTCTTTCCGCATATCAGTATACAATAAAGCACAAAAAGGGTAAGGATATTGCAAATGCTGATGGGTTATCAAGGCTTCCTTTAAGTGAAGCCAGTATGGACGAGGAAGAGGTTTATGCATTTACGTTAGATCCAGAATTACCTCTTACAGCAGAGGACATTGCAAAGGAAACTGGTAAGGATATGAGTTTAGTTAAAGTTTTGGAGCTAACTAAGTTTGGTTGGCCTACACATATGAAGGACGAACTGTTATTACCATACTTTAGAAAAAGATATGAATTAAGTATAGAGGAGGGCTGTTTAACATGGGGTAATCGAGTTGTAATTCCTAGATCTATGAGAGAAAAAGTGCTAGAAGTTCTACATGATCAGCACCCTGGAATAGTTAGAATGAAAATGCTGGCTAGGAGTACAGTTTGGTGGCCTGGTATTGACACAGATATTGAGGAAAAGGTGGGTAGGTGTGAAGCTTGTCAATTAAGTGCCAGGAGACCTCAAGAGGTTGAATTAACACCCTGGAGGCCCGCTACTAGACACTGGCAAAGAGTACATATGGACTTTTACCAGATTAATCAGATATTCTTTTTTATATTAATCGATTCATCATCAAGATGGCTGGAAATCTTTCCTATGACAAATGGCACAAATGCGAGTAAAATTTTGGAAAAACTGAGACAGGTTTTTGCTACGTTTGGTCTACCGGAGTCATTGGTGGCTGATAATGGGCCCCCCTTTTCAAGCAGAGAAGTTGAATTATTTTGTGCTTCTAATGGTATCAAGCTGATTCATTCTCCACCATATCATCCCACATCAAACGGAAGTGCAGAGAGGGCAGTGGGAACTGTTAAGTCAGCGCTAAAGAAGTTGGTATTAGAGGAACGAAAATTGGGGATTAAACTAAGTTTGGAGCATCGACTGTCAAATTATCTTTTTAGTTACCGAAATACACCCACAACGACTACTCAAAAGTGCCCAAGTGAAGAATTACTCCGCCAACCACCTAGGACTAAATTAACACTGCTAAAACCAAAGATAGCAGCAGAAAGTAAAACTAGAGAACGAGTACAAAAAGGAGTAGAGAGGGAGACAGGAAGAAGACCTTTGAGATGTTATGTGGAAGGAGAAGATGTATTAGTTTACCTAAGTCACGAGAAACAGTGGACTACTGGAAGGATTGTGAGATCTCTTAGTAGGGTAACATATTTAGTTTGGGTAAATGGAAATATAAAATTCCTACATGCCGATTCATTAAAACCATCTAAGTTGGGTGGCAAGGAAAATGAGGTAAAGTTTAGGTTAGAAGAAGACACTGAATGGAATTCGGAAGCAGAGGTAGAGAAAATGAAAAGTGAAGTATTAGCTGGGGAAGTAAAAACTAAGTTAGATGCAACAGCAGAGCCCTCAATAGAGCAGCCTACTAGTACATTTTCAAATGTGGAACCAGAACCTGCAAGCTTGACTATGCCACCAGAGCCTTGCTTTCGGAGATCTTCCAGGTCTATTAAACCTCCAGAAAGGTTAAATTTATAAGTATAAGAAAAAGAAATTAAGGGGAGAAAAGTGTGATGTATTGTGTAATTGTGTTCCGAACATATTGTATTCTTTAGTTTGCTACGGAACACGCTTAGAGGTTAGGTATCGTTGAGGGATAGATAAAATGTCATTGTGGAAAATGTCAGAAATAAAGGATTACATCCAAACATGTTTTTATTTAAAAAGTCTTAAATAAATCCACTATTCTCAAGTACGGACATATTAACTATCATCAAATTTATGTAACTTGGGGACGAACTGATTTTTTTTCCCACTGGATTTGTATGTCACTATAATCTTTTTCAATATTCTTTTGATCGTTTGCATCTAAATTGTCACAATTCTCTAAGCTTACATCTTCATCAATTTCTTCTTCAGCACTACTTTCTTGATCACTTTCTCCAGTTGGCAAATATTCACTCCCACTATCAGAAAATGGCTCCTCTTCACTATCAGAAAACGCAAGTGTGTCCACTATTTTTAGTAAATTAGCCACTTCCTGTTGGGTTAATCCACAATACGAAGAATAATCATTTTTACTATTATTATTAACTTTAATTCTTTTGCTCGAAGGCCCGGCGTTCTCATTACACGACATTTTAGTTGCTACTGAAACACGTGGCGACGTAGCCACCGGAAATTTCAAGTAATCTGTATGCTGCGTGCGCATCTCTCTAGCCGAGTGTCGCATATATCGGACGGTGACTGATATAAACGACACTCGTCTGTGTGGCAAATTATAAGCTCACGATATATCCGCCAGTCGCCTACCTGCCAATTTCATTTTAAAATTTTGGCTGAATTATCATACACTGGTCTTTGGAGACGGATAAACATAGTGACATATATATCGGTCAGTCGTCCGTGTGGCAGTTTTCTTTCTGTCCGATATATCGGTCAACCGTCCTGAAAGGGTTAACATTTTGTTTATTTTTTTTAACAAACCTTTTTTTGAGTTTCGTTTAAAAAAGATATGTTTTACATTTTTAACAATTATTTCCCTAGTTACAACTAGTGGTTGTAATAGGGGTGAGGTGTTTCCTGTTCCTTTTTGCTTTGTTTATTTATCTCAAGAGATTCATGACCTTTTGTTCCATTTTTTTTGTAGTTGCCCCAATTCAACCCCCTTATCCTTTACTTATCCACGACCCCAGCTCTCCTAACAAACCCTGAGTGCCGTTCGCATATGTTTCGATCATTTTGCTTGTCCTATCTCCACCCCAATAGGTTCTGCCCCCAATTTTCTACCCCCATGTTCTTACCCTGAGGTAGGCAAAATATTTTCGTTACGAGATTATCTAGTGCATGGCCTATCTTTGGTAAGGCCAAATTCTTGATGTCATAATTGCACACGATTTTCTTAGAACAAAATTAGAGCACGTCATATATCCTCATAGCTTGCCCTGTCTGTATACGACTTCCTGGTCACCATATACATCAAAGATCGAGGGCCATCTTCTAGTCACAGTACTCTTCCCACTTTAGACTGCAGTTTTTTAACTCGTCTAAACGCTCGAACTTCTTATAAAATACAGATGAGATTCCTTTAGTCATCTCAAGATCTTAGGCAACACAGTGGGCTAGAGAGACGTTATGCAACCATCAATATGTTGTAATTTGAATTATGATTTATCCTAAAATATCCTAATTACGCTGTGCAATTTTGAAAATTGGCTATTAATGTAGGTGAACTAAAGTTTGGTAAAAGTTGTGAGTTTATGTAGGCAACCAACTATACAGATATCTGAATTCAGGGGTGGTGAACTAAAGATTTCTATAAAAAGCCTTATATGTTTTTTCAACATTTGGTACCTGGAATATGGAAAGCAGATATTTGTAGGAAATTGGGTTTTTAAATTTTATTATTGCAGAGTGAACTGTTAATTGATGTATTTGAGTATGCTATTGATATGGAATGTGAATAGAATAACTGTTGTAATGTACTGTTGGTATATTACTTAACTTACAAGAGTAACGTTTTACTTTTATATGAAAATTAAATAATAGTGGGGTAAATAAAAGTATAAATAGTGGGCTACCTGTATTAAAAATAACCTGTCTTGTGAATGTTTGCCTTCTAGACCAGGTTAAACATCAATAAAGAAACCATTCGAACAATGTTACATGATCTATTTACCCATGAATAGAAACACATCTGAAATCTAGGTGTGAAAATTTATTGTGAAGCATTCAGAGCTACGGCAGAGATTCGACGAGTAGGATAATCACTGAACTTGAGACTTGGATATTTCAGTATGACTCTACGACCACTAAACAACGTCAGCAGTGGATGTAAATGGGACGGGAGAGACCAATGACTCTAAGTTGCGACTTAAGATTATCTTGATGGTTTTTTAGATATTTAAGGCAACATCAGACACTTGCATTTTGACGTCGTAAACCGGTTGCTAGCATGCATTTTCCGTATACACTTGCTTGAACCACGACACCGCCACGAGGGTCCATTCCTCTTTCATTATGCAAGAGTTTTAGATGAAGAACGGCATTTTAACATTGCTGTAACCACCCCCTAGCCTTCAATGACATTTTCTCATTCCTTAATATGCAGCTGCACGAAAGCGAACTAGTATGCGGCGTAGAGGAGGTACGCGAATCTATGACAGCGGTTCTGAAAGGATTAACTTCGGGGAAGTGCCAAGAGTGCTGTTAACCGCGGGGGCATGTGTAGAGGTAAATTATTGTTGTGTAAATGTCGATAATAAAACTTTACTCATAAATATATTTTCTTGCGTTTTATTGGCAAATTTCGTGAACTTAATCGCCACATCTCGTAAATATTGTTAGGTTTTTCTGTGGGTTGAGAGATTAAGTGAAGCAACCGTAATTTAAATAAATTTACTTTAACTCCAGAAACAAAATCACTAAATTAAAAGTATCATCAATTCTAATTAAATGAATAATTATCGCTTATAATTCACACGGATACCGCTTACAAGTTCGCCAATATTAATGATGAGCCACCTCGGAGGGCTTATATGAGGACAACTATCTGTTCTTGAAGTTTACTCGTCGTTTACCGCGAGCCGAGAAATTCCCCGCATCGTTCGAAACGGCTAGTAGAATATTCGACGGTTCGGAGGAAAAAGATAATTCTGGACTTCACTAAAGCATTGAACCGCTGTCAGAAATGACACAATAATGTGTAATTATTGAACAAGATGAAAAATAAAACTGTACGTTTTAAATAAAATTGTTTTTATTATAAAAGTAAATATATAAAATCCATAATATTAAATTAAAATCTCTATAAAGCGTTTTCGATTTTTATACTGTGAGCTTTCTTTATATGCTGCTTCACATACGACTTATCATTGAACTTCTTATCACAAATAGTACAGAAGAAAGGTTTTTCTCCGGTATGCGTGTACAAATGCCTAGTCAATTTGTTTTTGGCGTAATACGCCTTCGGGCACATATGACAAATGTACTTTCGTTCTTTCGATGGTAACTTGATCTGTCCAACTCCAATGCCTAAAAACATAGTGTATTTACAACGAAATTGTTTAATTATAAAAATTTATTTTAAATAGATAAATTATAAATTGTAGGTCGGCTGGCCTAATTTCATTAATGTGGGATTTACACCAACAATAAATTCACGAAGAAATTCATAAATTTATTCATCAATTTCTGTGTCAATAAGTTCGTAAATATCTTGGATTTAAAAGTTTCTTTGACTTCAAATAAATTTTCAATATCATAAAATTCAATAATCAAATGTGATTATCTCAGTAGTACCAATGGTTTTATTATTGAATGATCTTTATTGTTGTTTGTTTGAATAAAGATATATTTGGAAATATAATCAGAAAACCAGGGCCGTTCCTGGCGGGTATGCAATGAATGCCCCGCACGCAGGCGCTAAATTTTAGGGGCGCCAAATATTTGGTTACCATTACAAAAATATTCTCTCTTCTAAAACAAAAAAAGTCAGTGTTCAGTATTTCCCCGGTAAGCGCTAAAGCAATCACTTCATCCGTTTGCTATTCCCTATTATAATACGAAAATTACTAATTCTGTTCGCAATATCATTGTCATTAAAGTTTATTGTAAATACATCAAGTTTATTGTAAATTGTAAGTTTAAGGCGGCAAATAAACTGCTAAAAGGAAGTAAAATAAGTTAACTTATTTATTTAAATAAAATAAACATAAATAAGTAAAGTACTAAAATTTAAATTAAATAACAGTTTAAGAACCTTAAAGTTATTCTTCGGGTCAGTTAAGTATCAATGTTTATTTACAACCATGTATGTTATGTTGACATTGAAGACCTTTTATAAAAGTTTGAAAAACCAAATTTCTAGTTTTAAAATCTATCCAGGAGGAAAGTGACATTTACCCGGATGAAAAGTGTATGACATTAATTTTCCACCCAGGTAAATTTTAACATGCTACGAATAACCAAAATGTTTCTTTACATTTTATTAGATTTTTTTAAACTTGCATTTAGAAGATATGGTTCTGAATAAAACAGTACAACCTGTACAAACCTCGGTGAAAAAGTTTCATTCCTGTCTCGACGCTATGCGCCTCGGTAAATCATGTTTTTCTCTTGATAAGAATTAAACACTTCAACTCAGTGTATAATATTATACATTGTGAATGTATATAATATACTATTATTTACAACCATATACGTAAAACATCACTTCTGACATTTTTGAGAGTTGGAAAGTTCACCTTTTGTGACTGTTCTGATTTTCAGATAAAAATTGATTACCTGTTTAATTTCTGTCCGGGTGAAAATTGGTTGTTTACTTTCGACCCCGGTAAAAGGTTTATATGAAAATACCGTTTTCTAATTTTTATTTTAAAAAAATATGACTGTAAATAAAATAGTAGTAAAGGTTTGTACCTCGCTGGAAATTTCATTTTTGTCTCGAGACTCAAGTTAAAAATACTCTTAATTAACTAATTTCTTGAAGAAAATGAAATATTTTCCACCTTGGTATGTAATACCGTATTTTTTCTCTTCAGAATCGGCTGAAATGAGCGAGTTTGGTAGGAAAAAATTATCAGGGGCTGAAAATAGAAAACGCCGACTGCAAATGGAGGCGCAGCGGGAAAAACTTAGTGGATCGCTGAACAAACTTCTAAAACAAATTTCTGAAGAGCAACTGGTTGCAGAGCCAATGGTTATTGACGATCAACAACAATCCACCTCTGAAACGCTTATGCTACTCCCTTCACAGTCTCAGCTAAGTAACTCGGTAAATGAAGATAGAGAAAGTGCTGCAGACCTTGCCGATATTGATATTACTGATCCCTCTACATGGCCGAATCAATTAAATCATCATTTAATTCAATCAATCGTGACAAAAGGCGCTGTTCAAATCATGGAAAACTTTCCTGTTGATGAAACTGGTAGAAAATTCTCATCCACGCAACATTTAAGAAAGTTGCCAAACGGCAAAAAAGTAAAGAGGGACTGGTTGGTGTATTCTAAAAAAATTAATGGCATATTCTGCATTTTCTGTAAACTTTTTAGCACATTGTCTCATAAATTAACTACCGGCTCTTTTAACTGGAGGCACCTTTCTATTAATATTTCTCGTCATGAAAATAGCATGGAACATATGAAAAGCGCTCAAAAATGGCACGAGTTAAAATTGCGTTTGAGTAAAGAATGTACTATTGATAAAGAGCAACAAAAATATTATGAAATTGAAAAACAGCGATGGCGTGAAATCATTAAAAAAATGATTTGTATTGTGCAGTATTTAGCTCACCAAAATTTAGCTTTTAGGGGTGACAGTACGAATCTTTATGAGACTAATAATGGCAAATTTTTTAAAGTTAGTTGAAATGATTGCTAAATTCGATCCAATTATGATGGAATACCTGAGCAATATTCGAAGGTCTAAAGAGTTGTGCCAAAATATGCTTCATTGCCTGAGCAATCACTTCCAAAATGAATTAATTCATTTATTGTCAAAAAATATTCAGAAAGAAATTCTGAGTTGTCTCAGAACAGCAAAATATTACTCAATTATTTTGGATGAATCTCCAGATGCTAGCCATGTTGAGCAGCTGACGGTCATAATTCGCTTCGTTTATTGTTCTCCATATGAAGTCGAAATTAGAGAACACTTTCTGGGTTTTCTCAAAGTTTTAAATCCTACAGGAGAAGGGCTCTTCAATTTTTTAAAAGAAGAAATATCAAAATGTGAAATAAACCTTGATGACATGAGAGGTCAGGGTTACGACAATGGGGCAAATATGTCTGGCAAGCATGTGGGCCTTCAAGCTCAAATTCTAAAAATTAATCCCAGAGCAATGTTTTTGCCTTGTTCAGCTCACACTATTAATTTAAGTGTCACTGATGCAGGTAAAATTTCATATGAGACTGTAGGTTTTTTTTCAATTATTCAGGAGTTGTTCAATTTTTTTTCTACTTCACCCTACAGATGGGACATTTTAAAAAGGAATGTACCAAACTTAACTTTAAAATCAGTAAGTGAAACACGATGGAAAAGCAGAGTCAAAGCCATTCGCCCTCTTAGGTTTCAATTCCTCGAAATTTGTAAAAGTTTAAATGATTTGGTGGAAGATAATTCAAGAGATATGAACACGAAACACTCATCAAGGTCACTATTAGACAAAACTAAAACGTTCAAATTCATTTTTTCTATTATAATTTGGCATGATGTGTTAACAAAAATTAATATAGTAAGTAAAATGGTCCAGAATCCAAATACAACTTTAAATGAATGCCATAAAGAAATAAAAAATCTTATTATTTATTTCACTGAAAAAAGGTCAGACAAACATTTCGAGAGTTTCATGAATGAGGCTGTAGCAGAAGCAGGAAAAAGTGATGTAGAACAAACATTTCCATTATTAAGACAAAGAAAGACGAAGCTTCAATTTTGGTATGAAGGTACAGATGAAACAGTATTCGATCCAAAACAAAAATTTAAGATCAGTTTTTATTTTCAAATTTTGGACAAAACAATTCAATCCCTACAAAGACGCTTTGAGGGAATAGATAAGTGCCACGATTTATTTGGATTTTTGGGTAATTTTCAAAATCTAGATTCTGATGTGATTAAAAGATCATGTATGGATTTGGATTTAGCTTTACAAATTCAACATGAAGGAAACGTATGCAAAGATATTGATGGTCTTGATTTGCATAATGAAATTCTGTCATACAAAGTTCTTAACCCTATCACAGACTCTGGCAAAATTTCGGATTCGCCCATAGATGTTTTAAATTATATAACAAAGAAAAATTTACAATCCTGGTTTCCGAATCTATTTATAGCCTTGAGAATATTCCTGACCCTTCCAATTTCGGTGGCATCCGGCGAAAGGAGTTTTTCAAATCTAAAGCTCATAAAAAATTATTTAAGAATCAATGTGCCAAGAAGGCTATCAGATTTGGCAGTCATTTCAATTGAAAATAAAATTTGTTAAGCCATTGATCACAATGAAATGATTAATGAGCTTGCATCTGTGAAAGCACGACGTGTCATTTTGTAATTTCAATATTTGTTTTATTTTTCACTTGGTATATATGTATTATTTAATAAAGTTTTTTTGCATTGGGAGTATCTCCTTTCCGTTATTGTTTCATGTTATATTCCAGAATGCCTTATTAATTTGCGAATTGAGTGTTTTCTTTCTTACTGTTAACTTACATAATAATATTGTTTTAAAATGACCTTTTTTCTTCATTTAATTTTGAAAATAAAACCTTTTTTCAAACATGGTTCGTTTTATTTTTCTTTTTACATTCATATCATATTTTCAATCATATTACAAGATCATGTTATGATACAGGTATCTTAAAAACATAATACGGGGGCGCACAAAAAATCCTGCACGCAGGCGCTCACTACCCTAGGAACGGGCCTGCAGAAAACAATATTGTTTTAAAAAGAAAATAGTGACAAGGAAATAATTATTGTATTACCACGTTGGGTGGTGTATTCTGTGATTGTACAAAAAATTATGCTGAATTTACCGGAGTAAGAGTTTGAACAAGAGGTAAAAATTAGTGGAAATTACCTGTAATTAGTGGAAACTGTTGATTTTTAGGCACAGAAGATAATTTCAAATAACTTAATAAGGACAAAATAGCTAAAGAAACAGAAAAAGTGGTATTTTTTTTATATGATAGAACAATATCAAAAACAACAAATCTGACATTCATTACATACTAAAAACTAACTGTAGTTAGTAGACATGTTAATCAATTCATTGTGACTTTTAGACTGATGAATGCAATTATTTAAATGCAATGCCTGCCTGAACCAAGTTCAAGTAAAGAAGAAAGAAAGGTACAATACTTTTTATAATCTTTTAACTACTATTCATAATATATTCTCAATAGATACCTAATATAAATAAATATGTGTATTGTTAGAATATTGAGATGTGTAGAATTCTAATCAAAAAGAGAAGTTTTAAATAAATGAATACTTAAAAATAAATAAAAATTGGAAATAACCAGTAATACTTTAC